TCTTTCCCAGATTTCAAACAAAAATTCTTTAAACTAGGCTCAGTGTTACTAAAAAGTCATTTTGAATTGTTTCAGTCTTATTTTCGATTAATGTTTGGAGTTTAAACATGACAGATAAATGTCCAAAGAAGAATTTTTTTATATTCCCTCTCTTTAAAGTTAAAACTGTTCAGGCTGTCTTTCACCTAGGCTGCAGAATCATGATTTGGAAATGCTTCTTAAGAGTGGGTTGGAATACGGTAGTTGTCTGATACTGCATTCTATCACCTGTTTTAGTGGTAGAATAAAATGGAGCGCAGTCTATAGTCCAGAGATACGTCCCCCTACCAGTTTGTCTGAACTACACAGCAAAGTCTCTTTGAAGTGACATAGCACTTGTAAAAACTATAACATCCCTTCCTTGCCCAGTTTAAAAGAAGCTCTGTAATACTCTTTCAAAAAATGCCTGTTAATCCTTCTTAGCTCTCTCAGATGAACTGATGTGTTTAGGGTTTTTTTCTGATCCCTTCTAATGGAATATAATGAGTCAGTGGATGAACAGTTTGTTACTGTATTTACTGCTCCCAGTTTTCGCTGAGCAGTTATTAGCGCTTGTCTCTGAGGCTGAACAAATTACTTCAAGAATTTTACATAACACTGCGTGTACTCATTAAAAATAGCATGAATAATGAAATTTTAGTTAAATAAATTTTTCTGAATAAGTTCTGCCCTAAGTTCTTAAATTTACAGCTAGAAATGTTGCTGTAATCATGTTTTCTGTGGAAATTTGTGGAAATGAAATTCCAGTTGCATCCTGCTATTTTACTACTTTTCAGCTTCTTGCACCAGGTTTAGTTTGTCTGCAGTTCGTTCACAGCCTTGTTTCAGGTTGTGTGTGGTTTTTGTGTGTGTGTGTGTGTGGTTTGTTTTTTTTTTTAATTGGGTACTAGTAGCTATCAAACTGCTGCAATAAAAAGCTGAGCGTGGCCAGTTCTTGTCCATCATCTGCAGCCTACACTGTACTCAGCAGTGTTACAGCTACACTGTTACTGGTACCTGAGTCAGCTGGTATTAAAGCTAGTTCATGTTCATTTTTCATCTTGGAGTCCCCTCCTTACCTGCAGTATATAAGTGCTTTGGTAGGTACATCGGTATCTCAGCACAGATGATGTAAGCTGTTAGCCCGAACAGGAGCTTTCTCTTAGGATGTTGGTCTACTTAATGAATATTCTATGCATAGTTTTATTTGATGTGTAAATTTAAATTCTTGTGTGGTGATTTTTATCTACAGACATGTCTGTTGCCAAAAACAGCATATTGAAGAGGCTTCTCAATTTGGTAGCGTTATAGTCTCGTCATTTAATTTGATATTTAAAACAGAGTTTGAAATACCTGAATATTCCACTGTTGTTTCATGTTCCAGCTCGCTCTTCGAGATGCACTTCTGAAAAAGAGAAAACGGCTGCTGAAATAACGAACAGTAAAGGAGAGGAATATTTTATTACCCTTGAAGAAATAACCGCAGAAATCTTAGCCCTCTCCTTCCCCACCCCCCACAAAGAAAAAGGTAGTGAAATGTCTTGTGGGTTCATGTCTCTCCTATTCAGAATTATAAAGCAACGTTGCCTGGTGGTTGGACGTTGCATGTACAGGACAGACCGAAGAGGCCTTAATCCTTACAAGATTTTGATTCTGAAAGCTTTCTGGGAAACAAGGCAGTTATCTCTAATTGAATATAACTTATTTCCAGCTGGTTTTTTTGTATGTGTAAGTATTAATTAAAATATACAACCTTACTGTAAACATATTTAACTTGAAGCAGTTGATGGAAGGAAATTATTTCCTGGAAGGAAATTTAATCTTAAATAAAAATAAATGGAAGAGCATTTGTTTTCTTAGAAAGCTGGCTTAATAATTATATCCTACGCTAGAATTCACTTAGGTATCTGCTTGTTGTATTGAATACCAAATGAGACATGAATTTTTGCAGGTTGGTTTTATCTTGGCATGCCCTTTTGCTCGCAGGGTCTGAACAGGGCCTGTTTCCTCAATTTTGGTATGAGGATGTTTATATTTGGGAAAAAGTCATTCTTACTATTTGTCTTCTCTTGTGTTATGTTTGTTTCCACATCTTGCTTCCTAGAGCAAAAAGCTTATTAAGGCTTCAAGGGAAATAGAAAACAAACCCCGTACAAATGAACTTCCTCCAAACCAGTGGCTGCAATATGAAAATTAATGCTGAGGGAAAGGCAGGGATGGTTGGATGGTGACAGTAGCCAAACAGCCCCGTGGAGGGTATGTAACTGGTGAGCTGAAGAGGTGGAGGGACACAAAGGAGTAGGAGCTATTGGGGTATGTGGAAGGGATGTGAGGCAGGGAGTTGAAGAGACCACAAGTATAGAGGGAGCAGTACAGGAATACAAGACCTGTTTGTAGGAAATCCAGCTCCATTGTTTGCTCTGTTCCCTGTACAGCTGTGCTATTTTCCCTTAATTCTGTGGGTGTATTGAAAATGAAATAGATCTCGATTGAAAGGGAGGAAGCTCCCCCCCCCACACATCTCTTGTTGAGTTTAGCAGCACCTGGCCTTCTGTTCTTCTCCCTTCTCCCTGTCGTTTTGCAGCGCCGCCGTGGGCCAGGCATGCTCAGAGCTGTGGCCCGTTCCTCTCAGGTGGGTGGCCATCTCCTCTCCTCCACCTTTAAAAATGAGAGGGACAGACAGGATTGGGGAAAAGGCAAGAGAGAGACTAATCCTTCGCCTACCCCCCCCCCGCCCACACACTTTTTTAAAATTACCCTCTTCCTATGATTTCCAACCTTCTGTAGCATCTTGACGACCGTACACAGAAAGGGAGCCGGTGTCGATGGGGAAGGGAGGGGAGGGTGGCGGCGGAGGCTGCCCAGTATAGGTGCATGACTGCGGGGAGGGCGACTGATGAGGAAGGGGG